ATAAATTATTCAGTATTAGTATTTCTAACCATGTATGTATATAAAGCTTTATAATGCTAAAGAGACCCAAATAGTAAATATTTAATCTCAAGAGATAGTATATTTTTAGACATTTATTTAGCTGTATAGTGTCTCATTAGATATCACAACAGCTTGATGTTTTTATTGATTTATTACATGAAACTCATTCATCCCTTGAACACCCCCTACCTCCTCTCCTCCATGAGGCAGATAATCTTTTTCTTACAGGGTTGGGAATAATGAAACTGCTGCTTGGAGATGTTAATGATTTATCTGAGTAATACAATAGCAATGAAATTGAAATTTGGACTCAGACTCTGGTGCCCTGCACAGGCCTGTGCTGTGCAGAGAATCCTCAGAGCCCAGAGCAACACAGCACAGCGCTGACTGAAATGTGCTGACTTCAGAGCCAGGTCCACCCTAGTGTGGTAATCAGATGGAAACACCTGGGGGAGAAGCGCTGCTACCTTGGCTCCTGGTGAAACTCCCTTCAAGTACCTCCTGCCTATTGTGTGACTTGAATAGACTATTGTATTTTTTTTTTTTAAAAAATCACATTTACAGTTTCAAACTTGAATCACTCTTAAGCATGTACAGATTAGCCACTATAAGTTTGCTAGGGGACTGCTGTAATACTATAAACTGAAGGGCCTGAACAGCAAACTTTCCCACAGTTCTAGGGATGGAGTGAAAGATACAGTTCAATATATGACACTTAACACTCATGATTCTTGCAGGGACTAGAACCAGTGCATAGTGCTTCACTAAACTAGGCCAGCTGTTTGTGGTATCTGTCCTACACGACTGAGCAGGACTGAGGCCCACCCCTTGCAGGTTTTGCAGTCATTGTTGGAAAGTGGTCAGAATAAGGATGGTTATGAGGAAGGGTAGATACTATTGTGGTAATGGTCATGTGAGGTTTGGGTGTGGACAGTCTATTGAATATGAAATCAGGGATCAAATTCCATATATAATAGCCCTGAAGAAAGTAGACAAAGTACCCGGGAGGCTGAAACAGGAGGATCACTGGAAGTTGGGAGAAGCCTGTGCTACTTAGTGAATTTAAGGCCAGCCTGAACTGCATAGCAAGACTTTGTCTCAAGAAAAAACAAAACAAAACAAAAACCAAACAAAAAAAAACATTTATTCTTGAATTCAGTCTCTGGTTTAAGAGGAAGCCATTGGCCTGGATTGTCTTTTTATATTTAAATTTGTCTGGTTGTAGACATTTATATGTTAGTATATAATATGCACATACTTTTATATGTGATTTCTTCATCCTTGAATGTGCGTGGGTCTGAAGTTGCTACACTTTTACTTGTGACAGTATTTGTTCAAATCCATTTTTACTTTACAGCAGGATTGGTGGTTTCACAGTTGCAACATATAAAATGTTTACTAGTAATGTTTGTAGTAAACTAAAAAAATTGGTTTGAAGAGAATTCATGAATAAAAATAGGAAATTTATGAATTGCAGGGTTATAATATAACAGTAGCATGGTAGAATTCATAAGGATTTGTGGTGGAGTAGAGAGGTGTGGTTAGAATTTTTTGATTTGTTTTTGGTAGCCTTATAACCTTTCTAATTTGTAAACTGGAGATTTTTTCGTATGGTATTATTTTTTCCTCAATGACTATATCATGGGTGGCTGCTGCTTTACTTGTAAAGTTGTCATGGTACAGTCTCTGTAGTACTGTGCATATATTCCTCCATCTTTAACATCTTAATACGTTTGTCATAACCATGGAAGCAACAGTGGTACATTACTGCATGAAACAGCACTCTTAATTTGGATTTCACAAGCTTTTCCTTAATGTCCTTTTCTGTGTTAGGATCCAGCACAGCACAGGTACATTTAATTCTCATGTCTTCTTTAGCTTCTGTGGGTTGTGAGATTTTCTTTGATTCTTCATTGTTTTAATAACCTCCACAATTTTGAAGACTATTACTTGGGTATTTTGGTAGGATGTCCTTCAATTTTGGTCTCTCTGCTGTTCTTTTCCTGAGTGACTGGGATTGTGGGATACTGGAAGGAAGTTTGGGAAGGTCGTTCCCATCTCATCCTACCAAGGGTGCATTTTATCAGCATGACATCATTAATTACACTAGTCATGGTTGCTCAGCTGAAGGGTGCTTATCAGCTTTCTGCTGTGTGTCAAGTGAAGTTACTCTCTCCCTTTCTACCTTGCTCTTAGGAAGCATATTGCTAAATGCAGCTGCATTTAAGGGAATGTGAGAGTGTGTAAGACAGGACATTTGTGATTCCCAGAATTAGAATTGGTCCTATCTGCATAGCACCTTGCCTTGACACTCTGTTCTCTATGGATTCTGTTTACTGAGACCTCTTAGACTGGAAAGGTTGTGTATAGAGTGGAGACTTCAGCACTGTGTCTTGTGACCTCTTCAAATGGGGTATAATATACTATGAGTTCCCTGTCTAGAACAGATAATCTCACAGCTGAAATGAGGGACAGGGAAGCACCAAGTAATGGAAACCATTTGAGAGCATGGCTCTGAATGTTTGGGAGTTTGAGCTAGGGAAGGATTTCTCCTTTACATTTTTTAACTTAATAATATTTTGGCCCTTTTATACTGCAGCCCTGCTGAAATATTGCATAATTGAGTATATTCATGATGCATTGCTAGAATAGTTTTTTCCTGTCTCCTGTTATTTCCTTAGCAGAGGCCTAGACTTCAAAAGTAGGTTCAATCTACTTTTCTTGTATTTTGAATCTTTTCTTTGCCACTAATCATTTTTTTGTTTCATTATTTTTCCTGCTGTCAGTGGGTTCCTTTCTGATTTGCTGTTTATAACCTTCTTTGAGTTTAGAATTCAGAACACACACTGTGAGCAATGTATGCAGTGACTGTCAAAATAGCCTTAGATAAGGTCTGAGAGCTGTTGTTTGTTTTTTGTTCCAAATAAGTGTAAGCATTAAGATTCTAGAGAATGGCCACTTCCCCATTTATGTAACTGCCCAGGGCTTTTGTTTCCACTTACTCTTTGGAAGTGGAGTGGCAGGATTGGCTATTTGATATCTCTGATTCCATACAGGCTTATTGTAAGCAACCTGCGTTATGTACTGTGTGCTGACGGCATTGGGGATGAGCAGGAATTCACTGTTCAGGTTTATTTTTTTAAAAAAAGTTTTACCCTTTTGAGCTGAGATTTAGTGTTTATTGGGAATTTAAAATGCATAGTCACAAGTACTGATTGTTTTCTTTTTAAAAATGGTAATATAAAAACACAAGAATTGGCCTTGTTAACAGGGCTTCTGTATGCACATCACACTTGCTGTCTTTGAAAATGACCAAAATGGAAATTCAATTCTTACATTAAGAAACGAAGCAAGAAAACAGCTAGAATTAGAATATGTATTTGAAGATGCTTGGCTATTTGTTTTAATCATTAGCAAAGCAGGGAAACCATATGTACAGTTAGAATGACAAATGGTTACATCCCACCATGAATTTCTTGTTATGTTATATGTGGTTAATGTGTATACATACTAAAGTTGAGTGCCAGCAGGAGATTAAAGTGTCAGAGTCCCCAGACCAGCACATGGACAAACTGAAGTACAAACCAATTAGAAGAGCATAGCGTTAAAGGCAAAAGATGTGCTTTAATGGTTTACTTAATTCATGTAGCAATTGTTTCCTGAGTCTTCCACAAGGCCAAGTCCAGGGCTGTGCTGGTGGTAAAGTCTCCACCATGCAGCTGGGACATAAATTCTGCCAGAAAGTAACTAGTAATTGTTGTCTATGAGTGGTTTTAGGGGGTGCAAATCAAGGTTATTAGGGGGCAGTTTTACCTGTGGTGGCTAATAAGACTGTTATTCATTTAGGAACAGAACATATTCTATAATTTGCAAGGTAAAAGCAAAGCACTATGAACTTTTTAATTAAAAATCTAGTGAGTTTAAATCCTTATATTCAACATAGGGTTTTGCTCTTGTGCTAGATCCTAGGGCCCAGACTTTTAGAGTAGGCTCACTGTGACAACAGATACGCAGTTTGGAGGTCTGGTATGTACACTTGTTCTTTTTTTTTTTTTTTTTTTTCCCGGAACCGGGGATTGAACTCAGAGCCTTGGCTTGCCAGGGAAGCACTTATTCTACTGAGCCATTTCCCTGGCCCCTACACTTGTTCTTAATTCATTGATTTTCATTGCATAAGAATATAGATGTTGGGCCAGGGAGATAGCCCAGTAGAATAAGTGCTTGCCTGGCAAATGCAAGGTCCTGAGTTCAGTTCTCTATACCACAAAAGAAAAAAAAAAAAAAAAAAGGAAATGTAGATGTCAAACTTAGGTCTGCTTCTCTGCTACATCTTTTCATTGTCCCTTTTAAATTCAAAATTATTTGCGACTAGCTTAATAGTTCTATCTGGGCAGCAGTAATTTTACTTCTAAGCAACACCATCATCATATTTAAATATTTTACTATTGAAAACTTTTTTCTGATCATAAAAGTAATATATTTTTAAGTGATATTCAGCAAATGTGTTTAAATAGCATTTGGAAAATACAAGAAAAGTATAAGAAGGTACCAATAATACCTTAAATTATAACACTGTTAACGTTTTTATATATTTCAAATTTTTATATTATTAAGATATTACTGAACATTACTCTCTATAAAGTTAAGATATAGTGAAAATTTTTCCTTAGATGGAGTAATTTATTTTAAAACAATAGATACATTTTTAATTGGCTGAGCAATATTTTGTTTTGTCAAAAATTTAACATTTATTGAATCATTTCTGTATTGTTGGTACTTTGTTACTGTTTTGCTATTAAATGCAATTCAGAGCACATCTTTGTGGGTAATTTTTTCATATAACCTTTTTCAATAATTATTTTAGAAATGCATTTGCCAGAATAAACAATAGGGCCATTTTTCTTCCTTTTTGATCTCTTGTAGAAATAAATGTCATTGAATAACTAGCACTAAATCATTCCTTTTTGTTTTTCCTGCAGCTCACTACCCTGGGAAATCTTACACCTTCAAGCACTGTGTTTTTCTGCTGTGATATGCAGGAAAGGTTCAGACCAGCCATCAAGTATTTTGGGGACATTATAAGCGTGGGGCAAAGACTGGTATGCTCACCTGTTTGTTCCAAGTTGTTGAAAATTTGTTCCAGTTTGCTGTATATTCATATATACAGTCATGTACACACTGCCAATTGTTTGTGTGTTAGTTAAACTTTTGTTTTTTTTTTTTTCAGTTGCAAGGGGCCCGGATATTGGGAATTCCAGTTATTGTAACAGAACAGTACCCTAAAGGTCTTGGAAGCACTGTTCAAGAAATCGATCTAACAGGTGTAAAACTGGTACTTCCCAAGAGCAAGTTTTCAATGGTACTACCAGAAGTAGAAGCAGCACTAGCAGAGATTCCTGGAGTCAGGAGTGTTGTATTATTTGGAGTAGAAGTAAGTACTGATTGTCATGCTTTGAGCACAGTATTACTTGTGAGAAATTTGATATTTTCAGAATGCTGTTTTGTTTATAGAATGCCATGTGTATAGTAATTGTGGTAGAAAATAGCCACCCTTATGAAGTGTTCACTATCTGGGTGACACGGCTCTGTATTCTTGGTCACTCATTATGCCCTCACAGCACCACTGAGTCCTCTCAAGGCCCCAGTAGCATGGGTGAGGTAGCTGTAATACAAAGACACTATGGAACTTGCCCAAGGTTGGACAGCTAGGAAAGGAGAAGGCTCCACCTGAATTTATGCTGACTGAGTTTTAGAATGTACTTTTTAATCTTTTGAAATTATTTAATTCTTTGTAGCCTGTTTTCAGCAAAGGCATTTTTGTGTGTTGAAGGGTTTAATTTTGCCTGTATTTTTATGCTACAAACACCTTAGAGGTCTTGAAGTTATTTTTCAGATTTGAATCATGTAGATAAATTTTTAAAGGAGAAACTACTCATAGACTAACGATGATCTCAGTTGTTTTGTTCTTAGCTTTTAAACCAATATCATACTAAAAATTTAAAAATAATGAACATAACTATCATGATAACAAAATCAGGATAATAATTTAATATAGTTATGACCTGATAGTAGATTTTATACTGGTAGTTTTTAGTTGTGAAGAGATGTAATCTTAAATAGATATCCAATAAATGTTTATATTATTTTTGGTTCAATAATATTACTATAGGAGAAGCTTGTTTGTATAAATACATAATACCAAACACAGTTGCTGACTTCTGCATATTTTTCTTGTTCATCATAACTAGACCTCATGCATGAAATTCTCTTTTGAACAGTCTTTCATGCTAATTTTAATGTTAATACTAATTTTAATTGTCAGTTAATAATTTTCCAAAGCTCTCTTGTCATGAGAAGATAAAGTTGACGTGGCATTATTGAAATCTGCTTTCATTGTTTGCATAATTCAGATAGTGTTGCAGTGTATTTTTACTCTGGCTTCTGCTAATGAGTTTTCCCAAGTTAATATTGACAGAGGTGGAATCTGTATAATACAGTTATGGGGATATACACTTAAATATCCACCGTTCCTGATTTTACAGATGAATAAATGCAAACCTGAGATGCTAACCTGGGCTCCAGGTGGCTTAGCTAATAAAAGGCAAAACTAGATGCAGAACAACATTGTTAGTTTTTTGTTGTTGTTGTTGTTTTTTGGCAGAACTGGGGATTGAACTCAGGCCCTTGCGCTTGCCAGGCAAGCGCTTACTCTACTGAGCTATCTCCCCAGCCCAACATTGTTAGTTTTATACTGCTTCTACTGCTTTATCCTATTTTTTTTGTGCATTTATGAAATTCTGGGTTTACCATATTTTTGCATAGTTTTTTTATTTTTGTCTTAAAGTATTTTGGGTTGGCCTTCCTTTACTGCCTGACACCTTGTAATGACTCAATCTTTCCATTACTTTCTCACTCTGCACTGTTGGGCATGTGGAATGAATATAGAAACAAACCCCAATCAAGTGGTAACTACCTGAGTAGTACTAGCAAGCTGTAAGAAGGTCATTTGGAGGATGCAGATAAAAGTCTTAAAAATTCTCACAGAGGCCAGCCAGATAGCTCAGCAGACTGAAGTGCCTGCTTAGGCAAACACAGGGACGGGTTTGATTCCCCACCTCCACATGTCTTGCCAGCCCTGCCTGCCCTCAGGGTACGCTGAGATGGCAACTGAGACTGGGCGTGGTGGCATGCCTCTGTAATCCTAGTGCTTGGGAGACTGAAGACAGGAGGATTATTACAAGTCCAATCTGTGTAGTGAGACCCTCTAGACCTACACTAAAATACATTAAAAAAATAATAATAATTCTCGCAGAACTAACCAAAGCCAGAGACTCTTGATTTAAGTACAAGCAGCCTAGCTAATTGGAGGCAAAAATAGGTGTGCAACAAAGTCATTAGCGGTGCTCTTGGCATTATCACATTGCTGTACATTTATAGGATACTTGTAGTTTTCCTCGTATTTATGATGAATTTCTGCTTTCCCGTAAGACTCATGTGTGCATCCAGCAAACTGCTCTGGAACTTGTTGGTCGAGGTATCGAAGTTCATATTGTTGCTGACGCCACCTCATCAAGAAGCATGATGGACAGGATGTTTGCTCTTGAGGTAACTGGCCTGCTGGAAAATAAGTCATTAGCACATCTTCCTAAATTAAACTTTAATTGTAATGAAATTTTTAATTGCTGTGAAATGTTTAATTGTAATGAAAAATTGACTTTTTAAATTTAAGCTTGGTCTGACTACCAGACTCACTAATTTCTAGAGACTGGACTATGTAACTACCTACCTTTCAGTTCTCACCACATACCCTATCTTGTATTTTATTTTCTCCTTAAAGGTAGGTTTTGAAGAGACTTTTCAGGAAGTCTAACCTGAATTATTTAGAGATTTGCAAAGTAGAAACTCACTTGGGTTTAACTCACTCATATATTAGCTAAAACTAGGACAGAAGGGGCCTACAGCTGGTTTAACCTGATAATAGCTTCTATCAGACTTGAACTTTGGAATTAGGAAATCTGTTGCTCCTGCTGGATGCTATTTACATACAGTGTTTCGTCACTTTCTGGCACTAGAGGGGCGCAGTGTCCTAGGCAGGAAATTAACTGATTATTAACTGATTATTAATATTACCTACTGGTAATATTAACTTAAGCATGTTTTATTTCAAGACTGTTGAAACTTTCAGAATCTTGAGAAACTTTCACCCAAAAGCATCATGTTTCATTTATACATAATTCTGATTCTATAATTTTAGCGTATGTGGATTTATATGCATGTGGATCTAATTGCAGGATTATTTTCACTAAGAAGAAGGAATACAAAGGATTTTGTTTTGTTTTTAGATCTTCCAGGGTTCTCTGCCTGAGCTGGTGATGAACTGCTTTCCCTGCAGGATTGCTGAATCATTCCTGTAGCCAAAGTATTCCATGGGGTGCCAGCATGGAGCAGAGAGGAAAGGGGAGGGCCAGGCAGAGGAAGGAAAGCAGCTGAGGGGAGGCAGGGGGAGGGCTACTGCCTAGCACTGGAGCCCTGGTCAGCTGTCCCTTACCTGTGATTTCCTGAAGTAGTAAGTCTCATCTTGAGAGTACAGGTGGAGCTAGTTCATTTTCTCAAACTATTTTCCAGTCCTCGGATGAATGAATTCACTGATCACTATTACTACGATGTGTTGCTTCCTCCAGTCTCACCAAAGATCTGTAAGCCCTTCTTCCAGTCATGAGGCCATCAGCTTTCACTTTTCAAGTTTCCTTAGTAACCTCAGTTTACATGCTGCACCACCAGGTTCCTCCACCTCGGATAGCGGCTCTTCGCGTATGTGGATACTCTTTTATGCTGAGGTTCAGACCTTGCAGTTCTACCAAGGAAGTGAAAACCTAAAGACATACAAACAAATAGCACTTTCCTGGCGCCTAATGACATTTCAGGGACTTTATTCCCGTATTCAGGCTTCTTGGACATGTCTTTGTTATGGTATTTATCACAGAAAGCTTTGACTGTTAGCAAGTCCACCTGCCCACAAGGCTCAGACTAAACTGAGAGCCCACTAATTACTGTCCACACCTCAGATGGGCTAGCTGCTGTCTCTGACCAGGAGTCCAAACGGTGGTGAAGGTGGGGTTGTGAATGCAGGGCTGGTGGTTCATGAATTTGTAGCCTTAAAACAAATTACACAGTCTGCCTCAGAGTTTTCTTTAGTGAAGTGGAAATAATAATAGCAGCAGCATCACAGGATTATTTCAAGGATTAAGTGAGATAATGTATGCATTCAGTGAGGAGGGTGTGGGACACAGTATGAACTAAAATGCTGGCTGCTGCTTTTTAAAACAGTGTTGTTATTTGTTGCGGTTTTGATGAGGCTAGTCTTACCTGCAAAATGTAAATACTCTAAAGCTAAGACCAAGAAGGGACCAGTCCTAAGACATTCTGAGAAAGGAAGAAAAGAGTCCATTGTCCGGGTAACTGGAAGAACCTGCTTGAAGTTGAAGTGCTGACTTTAAAAGGGAAAAATTAGACCCTGATTAGAGAGCAGGACAAGCAGTGACAGAAACCCTTGCCAGAGTAAATATTTCCTCTTAGTCTTCATAACGTAAGGAGTATTGTTTTCATTTACCCCTAAATATTTTGGAAAACTGAAATGTTATTTTTTTCCTATTACTAGTTAAGTTAAAACAGCAGTATGGCTAGCTCTCCCTCTTTGTTCCTTTAGAACATACCTGTGTAAGGTAATTCCTAACACTATTTGTATTGTCTATTAGAGGCAATAGTAAGTATCAGGGTCTGTGACATATGCATTAGTCAGTAATTGGGTCAGGCATTGTTTCTTTCAATCAGTAATTATACAGTAAATGCAAAATAAGATATGATAAAACCCACTCTTACACTTGATGTCCTTGTACTTGTGGGTAGTTTTTAGTGTTGTTTGAAAATTTATTGCCTCCCCTCTCATGACTTTGTGTTCCTGCATTTTTAGGTTTATTGGCCAGACTTTTCCTTTGGCCTAAGTGGGCTGGTGTTTTGCAGACATAAAGGGAGATCTTCAGAACCCTAATGCACCTGGACCCCTGATATAAAAGCTTTGCACACCCGTTCTAAATGCAGGCTCTTGGCTAGATTGTTTTTTTAAAACATCATCACTGTTGACCATATTCTAGGTTTTTTTTCTTTTCATTTTGTCTTTTTGAGACCACGCCTTGCTAGGCAGCTCAGGCTGGCCTGGAGCTTACTTTGTAGCCTAGGCTGGTCTCAAACTCGCAGGGATCCTCCTGTCTCAGTTTACTGACACATTCAGTTTTTAAGGTAAGTACTGTTATGTAGGAGGCCATCTGCCCAAATGTATTTGTGTGGTGCGAGAGTCCTGCGTTGCCCATGCTATCATCACCAGACTCTCAGCATCACTCAGCCTGGTACATGGGAGGGACCAGGCCCTGCTCAATGGGACACTGGAAAAAGTTGCTCGTTATAGACAGACTTCTTTCTGAATCAGCAGAATTCTTCCTTAGCCCTGGGTACAGTGTTCTCCCTTTGTGCTCATTAAAGACCTTGAAAGATGAGCGATTTGTTGGTGTATTAAGATTCATGATGCACTTCATTGATATCAAGTGCCTGTCACTCAGCACCAGACTCAATGGAGAGTTCCTGATTCGCCAGGGGGGAAGGTGACTGAGAGCTGGCGACTGGGAGTGTGAGAGCTAGGCTGAAGGGGAGTGGGCCTCTGGAGCTGTTTGCACAGCAGTGGGCTGTGCTAGTCGTGTATTCTGTCTTTCTGTCTGAAGCAGGCATGGGCTGTTTTGATATTTGAACTAAAGATAAACTGACTGAAGGACAAAGGAGTAGGAGATAGGACTTTCTAGAAATCTTAAGAAAATTCACCCGAGTTTGACCTTATAAAGGGCACTAACACGCCGCTTCTCCTATTCCTTTCTGCATAACTGCCTGCTGGTGTCCATTTCTTCAGAGTCTTGATCAGCTGCTCTGTACCCTTTTCTGTTCTGCTCTTGAGGGCCACACTTGTTTTCTAAGTGGCTTATGGCTTTTACTCCCTTTTGCTTTAAAAGGAGGGGTCCCATGGTGGAAAGAGTAGGTCTGCAGATGCCTAAGTCCCTGAAGGAAGATTTACTGCTGCTTCATACCCCGGGATACCTCAGTCGTTCAAATGCTTATTGCAGCCTAGGTTGTATAGTAATAACAATAAGCTTGTCTTCTGGATGGTTAACAACCTAAGTTTGCAGACCAAAATTAGAGAAAAAGGAGGGCCACAAGGAAAGCCAACATTTTGGCCCTAGCCTTCCAAGGTCACTTAAGACTCAGGACATATGAGAACTTGTACTGTAACATCATGTAACTCGGTAGTGTCCCAAATTTTCTGATCAAGGAGATTATGGGGCCAAAGAGGAAAGTGATCGATGATGTAGCGTGTGCCTGAGGAGAGTCACATGTAGAGAAAACATTCTCTCAGGCTTTCACAGAGAGCATATTGGCCAAGCAAGGGCTGTGACTCATCCACATGGCTGACACTGACAAAGGTTCTACAATCTGAGGTAGAGGATCTCAGGATAAATCCTGAGGGGATTTCACTGACCTTATCAGACCCAAAAGCTACAACCCTTGTTGCATAGGTCCTGCTTTACCTTGGTCTTAACCATCCAGCAGAAAAGTATAAAAACGAAATATAAGAAGTAAAGCCCTGGTGTTATGTTGAGCTGTAGGGGACTCAGGTCAACAATTTCTGACATTGCCAGTCAAGCGGAAGCCCCAATACTATTATGGACTACTGAGCTCTTTTAGAATATTTTGCTGAGTTTACACACCTATAATATTTAAATGATGGAACTTAACAAATAGAGGGGATACAGATGAATGTCCATTTGGTATCTGTGTATTCAAAGTGGTTAGGATAGATATATAGTTACATTCTCTTAATGAATAGAGTGATTTGTTCTAATGGTGTTTGTAAATAGGATATCATGTCTGCATCTTGTACAACAATTAACCACTAGGAAGAATGTATGCAATGTGTTAATTATTTAAACTGTCCTACCAAAAAAAAAAAAAGAAAAGAAAAAGAAACCAAAGGGCACAGCAGAACTCGGGAGAGCACCGGGATTCGCCACATGGCCAAGATGAAGTCTTAGTGTTGTTTCTCACTCAGTCTTCATTTTTGAAGTGAAAATATAGCACTTTCTTTTCCAATGATTGAGGCCCAAATAATGCCTTTTCAGCACACTTACATTTTCTGCTAAGGTATCAGTAAATACTACCTGAATACAAAAAAAAAAACAAAAAAAAAACAAAAAACAAAAAACAAATGTTTATTGCTTTCTGAGGAGATACTCCTTTGGGTTCTTCTCTGATTTGCCTAGGAATTATTTCTAGGTATTGGTTCTTCCATGTTTCTTGCAGGGGATGCTTGGGATAAGTGTTTCTCCAGAGATTCGAATAACAGATTCAGGGGGCCGGGGAGATAGCTCAGTGGAACAAGCACTTCCCTGGCAAGTGCAAGGGCCAGACAGAGTTCAATCCCCAGTTCCAGGAAAAAAAAAAAAAAAAAAAAGCAAAAAAATACAGATTCAGAGGATGGATCTTCACAGTGGAACTGTTTATCTGCTTCTTCCCTTCTCTTTTCCGCTTTGATTTTCTCTTTTGCCATCATCCATCCCTTTGGTCCTCTTCCCTCTCCTTTTCCTGCTCTGGAAGATTTCTGTCTTATTTACTCTGGTCCTGCTGGAGTAGTTTGTCAAGGACACCTTTCACTGCAAGGAAAGCTGCACAACTTCAAATTTTATGCTGTTTAATGAGTCTAAAAGGTCTGTGACAGCAGCAGATGGCGGTTCTGGAGGCACCTTGTCAAGCTCAGACAAGGTGCTCCTCCTTCCCTGCCAGTCATTTCTAGCCAGGGATGCTCCTGTTCATGAGAAGGACTCACATCTTATATGTCAGATGTTCAAGGGCAGAAAAAATAAAGGGTCCTCATGTTTGTGATACTAGTTTTAATGTAAGTCACAGCAATTTCAATGACATGGGATAATACATTAATAATGCTTCTATTTATTGTAGTTGTGGGGATCAAATCCAGGGCCTCATGTATGCCTTTTACTTCTAATCCATGTTAGTAGTACAGAGAATGATCACAGTGAGGTTGTGGTGTGGCTGGATTTGAAAATTCTCCCCCTCACTGGATTTGATGGTGTTGCTCTGGACCATGCTTGTGGTCATTCACACTAATTATTGTGTCCTGGGACATTTTTGCTGTTATAAAATTGTTCATTCTCACACTAACTTCTTGATTGTCTTGTGTGTCTTTTCTTTTGAAGCGCCTTGCTCGAACTGGGATCATAGTTACCACAAGTGAAGCTGTTCTGCTACAGCTGGTGGCTGACAAAGACCATCCCAAATTCAAGGAAATTCAGAATCTAATCAAGGCGAGTGCTCCAGAGTCGGGGCTGCTCTCCAAAGTATAGGACGCCACAAGAGACTGGTATCCCTCCTGCTGTTAGGTGACAGAACTGTACGCCCAGACAAACTCTTGTCTCTACTAGAATAAAAATGTCAAGTCAAAGTGGCTCCTTTTCTGCAGCTCTTAGTAACACTTAATTAGCGAGATCATTTGGGTGCCAGCATTTAGTTACTAATGTCCAAGGCTTTCAGGTGCTGCTTACCTTCTTTTTTCCTAATGTGTTTTTATTTATTTAAAAATTTACAACGGGGTGCCTGTTTCGTCTATACTGTACACACTGATAAGTGCACACTGTGGTGAAGGTTTCCTCAATTGTGCACGAGAAAAATTGACATTTGCATTATGGTAAGATGCGTTTTAATGGGTTCAGTGCTTCACAGATTGATGTCCTAAGATTATTTTGTGTGAATTTAAACAAAAGACTGCATCAGGTTACCCACTTCTCTCGCAGTGTCATTGACTGGCTTGTTGAGTGAGCTGCATTGATCTAACCTGACCAAATTATGTGGAATAATTATGTGTCTTTCTAGCTTGAGCTAATTTTCTTACTCTGGTCCCTAATTCTCAGTTAATGTTCTCTTATTTAGCTGAATCTGTTCCTTAGAGAGACCCGTTGAATCTGTGCTTATTTTAACTTTGTAAACAAACAGAATGATTTGCAGTGCCATATACGTGGTAGAGGGCCATGTTAGCATCATTACAGCAGGAGTTCAGCTGACTCTGTAGCCATTGTGAGTACATTTCTAGTATGCACAGATGTAGCAAAAAGGTAAAGCTTAAAATGAACATTTAAAATGTTCATATTCTGTCCGCCTATGATCCAAATATAAAGTAATAAACATCTGTAATGATTTGGTAGGACTAACATTGTGGTCATTGTTACCTTTCAAAAAAAATTATTTTCATGAAATACTAGAGTGTTTTAAAAATTGGTTTCTTTTTAATAGTATGTGAAATGTGGAACATTATTGTCTTTTCTATTAAAGCAATTAAAAAAAAACTTCTTATGGGAATGAAATTATTTTGTGTCCCACAAGATGGCTCTATGATATTTTTCCAGAGATTCTAATATTAATTCAAATGTTATAAAATTTTGACATTATAATCTTTCAACTCATGGGACTTTTCAAAGAAGGAAAATTATTTGCAGATGGGACAGATGGATTTTACTTAAGACCCTATATTTAAGGGCAGAGCAGAAGTGTGTGTGTGTGTGTGTGTGTGTGTGTGTGTGTGTGTGTGTTTCTTGGTCAGTGTTAGCCAGTAGCAGTTAGCATTCTTATTAATGTGTTTGAACATTCTTTTGCAGCTATTTATGAGTCAAAAAAAGAATGATTTCTCCACATTTTAAAATATTTGTTAATAAATTTAGGGTTTCTCAAGCTTTAATCTTGGCTCGCGTTATCTGGTGATCTTGTTAAAATGCTGTCCACACTTGGAGTAACAAGGGCATAGCTCAGAACTGTTCCCTTCATAGCCCTCAGGCCTCTCACTTCTCGATGGCATTCCAGGGCAGTGTGCCTTCCACAGCTGAAATTGCTTCTGTGACCCTGAGGTAGTTTCCTTGGGCCGTTATAGCAGATTACCAAAACTTCATGACTTACAACAGCAAACTATATTAGCTCACAGGTTTACAGCTTGTAAATTAGAAATGGGTCTCACTATGCTCAAGTGAAGTTAGACCATGGAGCTGTCTCCTCAGCCTAACAGTGGAAGTTTTTAATTCAACTGGAGAACATAAAGGAGTAGTCTGGTTTGTTGGATAACAAGGGAGAATGGGGGAGAATTACAAGACCTCTCTTTGGCTGTGGAGATAGCTTGGCGGTCTAAGCTCCTGCCTGGGAAGCAAGAGGACACGGGTTTGATCCCTGGTACTGCTGTCCCATACCGAACCAGCCACCGAAATCGGGCATAGTGCATATGCCTGTAATCTCAGCACTGTGGAGGCTGAGATAAGAGGATCACTCAGAGTCCCCAAGCTGCATTGTGAGACCCTGTACCAAAAAAAAAAAAAGTAATGAAGGGGCTTCACTTGCTGAAATATTCCAACATCTGTAGAAACCCAATTTGAAATTAAGTGGTAACTTACTCCAATTGGGAAACCAGATACTTTTTATATCCATTAAAGTATCACATCCATTTAAATGGGATTTTTTTCCCTTTTAAAAGTTTATATTTGGATAAATGTGAGTTTAGAGCATAGTAGAATTATGAATATCATAGTCCTTCTCAGCTCTAAAATTCCAGCAGGGCTTTATTTTTCCGATGCAGCTAGTGTTGTCGAGGGATTAATGACTTTTCCAAAGTTGCACAGCCAGCTGGAAATTGAGGCTACTTATCTCTTCGTCTTACACATCCTTTAATTGATGGTGCTAAACATTACGATAAGGGAGAATAAAAATGTGCAGAAAAGGATTCCTTTTACATTTTGTGTAACACTAGACTTGATTAGCGAAGCTGCTGGGATATACTCAGCTTTCTTTTGGGGAGCATACCTTCAATCTAGTCTTGCTGCTTCTTGCATAGTTTTCTCTATAGTATATTTTTCTAACTAGGGAAAATGACAATATGCAAGTAGTCATCATTTTCTCTAATAACTGCAAGTCAGTTTTGCCACATCATTAACTTAGTCACTATCCCATAATCTATACTTTATAAATTCTTTATAGATTAAGGTATGACTGTCACAGTTTAACCCTTGATTTAAAAGTGACCAGGCTGATTTTAATTAGCTATATAAACTTCTTAAATATGATTGTGAATTTAAACTCAAACTACCAAGAGTAAAAATAGAAGGTAGGGAGATCTTTCTCAAATGGGAAGGGGGTCCAGATGCAGGGAGGAGGGAATAAAGGGGAAAGTGACAAAAAGGGAATTAAGATCATGTACGTGTTCCAGCTCCACACAAGGAATGTAAATACGCAATGCAAATGTACTGGAGAAGAAATACTCCAGAAACACTGAAGTCAACCTTTTAGTGTGGACCCTTTAGTGTGCTTAGTATGCTTTAGTATGGACCCTTTAGTATGCTTAGGTCCATGTTGGTTTTTGTTACTCTTTGACTAGTTCCTTGGTTTCTGTTCCTCAGTTGTAGGTCATAACTTACCAAAAATATTTATTTTTAAAAAACACAGGTTACTCAAATTTGCTGAGAGTAGATATGAAGTGTTCTTACTACTTACAAAAGTAATTATGTGAGAAGATAGGTGCGTTAATTACCTTTATGCTGGTAATTATTTCACAGTGTATTCACATATCTCGATAGCATGCACCATGTTCCATTTTCTTTATATCTCCTAGTGGAGAAGGTCAGGATTCCATTTATATGCTTATTGTATGACTTGGAGTATGTAGATAGTTTAGTCATTCCTATTGAATGAATAGATTGCATCCTGATGGGCTTGCTGTGTGAGACAGTATTGAGGTGGCCTCCCAGGTCCCCCTTCCCTGCTGTGTGTACACCTTCTCTCATGGAATCAAGCAGTGAGCTGGGTTCCTGCACATAGCAATAAAAAGTGTCTGCTGACATCATTTAGGTCTCAAAGCAGTTTGAAGGAGAGAGACTGTCTGTAGTCCTGATCTAATCAGGTGAGCTGTCAAAATGGAGTGTGCCTTCCTCGGAGTGGGAGAGGGCTTCCACTTGACAGGGACCACTGCTGACTGACGATGAGAGGTCTCCATTTATGGATTGATAGTGGCTCTCTGTCAACAACTGGGAGGGACACAAACTGATATCCACCCATAATAACTTTTTTTTAGTAAGCAACCCGAAGAACCTTAGAAACAGGTTCTTCCTCAGTCTGGCTGATGCTTATAAGACCAAAACAAAGAATCAAGTGTGTCTTGAACTTTGGACCCAAGGAGCTGTGAGATCAGAAGTTTGTGTTTTACACTGCTAACTCTGGTAAATTTGCTAATAGGAAACTAATTCAGCTGGCCTATTTGTTGGCCGCTCTAAAAATGTAGCAGCCATTTAAATTGGAGAGAGCTGTCTCATTAAATGTGCATTTTATGTTATTAGAGAAAATAGTCAACATAGAGTACAGCTGTCATATCTCAAGCTTCATTTCTTAATATAATTGTTAGTTACACAGTATATTTTACTGCTCAACTTTAAGTCCCTTGGGTTCATGTGGCTTCATTGTTCTCACAGCTGCTTCATAAATTATCCCTCCCACTTCAGACAGAAAATACAAGAAATGAAAGGTAATGTGTCTCAGAACCTACACTCACTCGTTGGTGTGTATTGAATACATGCAGATTTGAGTTGGGGTTCTGGAGAATGTATTTTGTGCTCTTACGATACTATCTTTGCCAGCCATAAATAAAAATATAATGTATTTTGTAAAGTGAAATGTTAGGCTGGTGAGGTAGCTCAACAAACTAAGCATGTGCTTGGACAAGCATCGCGACTGGGGTTCGATCCCCAGCACCATATGCTGGGCCAGCCTCGCCCCCAGGTGCACTGAGCCGGCCACTGAGACCAGCCATGGTGGCGCACACCTGTAATCCCAGCCCTGGGGAAGCTGTAAATGAGAATCACTATAAGTCCAAGCTATCTAGTGAGACCTTATACAAAATACATTCAAAAGAGTTAGAAATACAGATATATTTTAAAAATGAAGACCATAGAAAGAATACATGAAATGTGAGTGAAGAAAAGCAAATATAAATTTGTTAGATGCAATTATAGCATCTCTTTTTCTTATTAGTATGAAAAGAAGTACATGCCCTATGCTTTTGGAGAATTTGATGAAATTTACATAGCCTATTTATTACAGTGTCAATACTGGAAACAGCAGTTCCTGCAGGTATATGCTAGCTTACATAAAATAGGCTATAAGACGTGTGTGTGTGTGTGTGTGTGTGTGTGTGCGCGCGCACACAGATTCTTTTGTCTTCAAGTTAAATTTTAAAAACTTGCAGTTCATAAAGAGAATTAGGAAAGAAGTTAAGAAAAATAGGGGATTTCCTTTCATCTTATACAAGCCTATTATTTGATGGTTATATAATTAAAAGCACTGAAATGACACACTTTGTTCTTAATAGTTTTAACGTGGGGGAATTTCTTAGTGTCAAGATAAGGAAATGGTAGTAAGTCTACTGTCCATTGTAGTTCTACTTACTTTTTTCTTTGTACTTTTTAGGGAAGGGTATACAGGGTGTTCAGGGTCTCACTACTGTACTGATCTGCCTGTTTATAGCCTCCCCAGAGCTGGGATTACAGGCATGCACCACCACACCCAGTCTCACTTGCCACCATGGCAGGCCTGGGGATCGAACCCCCAGCCCCTGCGCCTGCTTGTAGGCACTTTAATCCACTGAGCTATTTGGCTGGTCCTGTAGTTCTACTTTCTATGTATCAGAATGCTAAATGCACTGATACATATGTTAACATTTGTTCACCAAGAGGTTCATTAGATATTTTCTGTGTAATGGATACCTAATTGTTTTTACTTTAGTAATTCTCACAGGTCTGTGATTTAGCTGAAGAGCAGAATAACTTGCATCAGTTATTGCAAGTTATCTTCCAGCTGGTTGGAAGCAGAGATGGTGAAATTTTTATTTCAGCTTTTATTTTTTTCTGTAACTTCAACTTTTAGCCTGAAATTTAGTAATACCCCTCCAAGCATAACAGAGGGTGCCACAAACACACCTCTTATTTTCTACTATATGTTTTTATGTTATAATAGTATCCAGGTGTGTATATTAGTACCTTTCTGAGGGATATAGGAGCAATCTTAGTATTTACCCACTTAGTATGACAAAAGGCAAAGTGTGTGTGCATGCATACAAAAGTATCAAACTAAGATTTACACCCACATTTTCCTCATGGAAGTTTTTGTGTATGTTTATCTGAGCATCAAAGAGGGTCCAATAGACCCATACCACCCCAGGATTTTAAAAAAATAAAAAAGTCGTTTTGACTTTTCTGGTAAAAGTAACCCAAGTTTTGGAGAATGTCAAGAATGAGTCATTAGATTACTCATG